AGGTTGCAGTGAGCTATGATGATGCCACTGCACTCTAGCCCAGGCAACAGAGTGAGACCCCGTCTCAAAATAATAATAATAATAATCAAAAACGAGTTGAAAAGCAAAACTGGCGGGGAGGGGGAGCCTATCAGGTTAAACATTATCTTCAAGGAAATAAAGTCATTTATAAGAATCACATTGAAACCATAGGAAAGAACCAAAGCCGTCGGACTCTGGTTTTATTTTAACAGAGGGAAATCAACCTGAAGAGTTTTATAGGTTTGCTTGCTTTATTAGGTTCACCTGGATCCCCGAACTCTTTTTTCTTCAAGATGGTAAATTCCGCAACTACAGATGTTTCTAATGCAGGGATTTTGTAGGAAAGGAGGGGGCGCACCACCTAATTAAACACATAGCGATCAATGCAGTGAGATTCTACAGAAAGTGGCAATGCCCGGGGCTCAGGAAGGACCTCTGGAAAGGAAGAGCGTTGGCTAACTGCCTGCTTCTGGAGTCAAAGACCCAAAGACCCCCAGCTTCGTCCATCACTAAACACCGTTCCTTCCGTACAAAGAAAACCACACGGACAGATAATATGTGGGACAGTCTCTCCTGGACCAAACCCTAGTCAGCCTCCTCTGAGCTTTCTGCTCAACGAGGCTCAACCTTGGGTCTCTGGTCTCTGCCTTAGAGTCTAGTTTTAGCAAGAATCCTGCCAAGTCACTTTAACCAGAACTCCCCACCTGGGTGTCACCCTCAGTATCTGAAAAAATTCCTCACCCATCATACCAGGGTGATGTTTGATCACCTTGTCCAGGTGAGCCAGAATCCCCCTCCTGCCTCATACCTCCTCCTAGAAATTTTCCATCCTCAGGTCCTGCACCCCATGCCTGGGCTGTAAACCCCCCCTTTCCTTGTTGTATTGGGAGTTGAGCCCAATCTCCCTCCCCGACGGCAAAACCCCACTGCAGTGGTCCCTGCAGCTATATAGGGCCATGGTTCTGCATAGTCTGCCTGACCGTTTGAACAAATGTCGGAATAATTTTTCATATACATAGCATATAAATGTGCATCTCCTAAGAGAAGGCTTTCCAATATGCAAATTTATTTCTTGCACATAGGGATCTTGATGAAGCTTCCAGCACATCTGGAAAAAGCTTTCGTGAGTACAGACTCGGGTGGGTTTGTGGGTGAGATGCAGACCAGATGCCAGGCCCCACGCTCGCTGTTTTCCTGGCCACATAATCGTAAGATTTCAAAAACACCCAAGTAAAGGTTCTAATCCAGCTCCACGTAGAGAGAGGCACACTCGCTCTGACAAGTGGCTGACCAGACTTGTTTTCCGCCGCCCCAGAGGCGGGAACAGTTTAAACATCTCCCGACTAACCGCTCACACACCACCAAGTGCTTTCCCGGCGGTTACGCGGTCAGGGATCGGCGCGGAACTCGCTCCTGCCCATATTAGGGGGCCCGACCTGAGCGGGACTCCCTCTCCCCCACTCTCTCCCCGGCCCCCAGGAGCCAGAGACCCGGTCCTCCCTCCCCCGCGAGGAACTTGGATAAACCAGAACCACACACGCGCGCCCAGCTCAGGCCGCGATGCCCCCCGCGGTCGGGTCTCGGGCCGGAAGCCTCCCCGGCGCGGGGCGCGGGCAGGGGAAGGGGCGGGCGCAGGCGGCGGCGGCGCGGAGGATGCACGCGGGGCTCCTGGGGCTCTCGGCCCCGCTGCAGGCGGCCGAGCAGAGCGCGCGTGAGTGCGGCGCCGCCAGAGGCTGGACGCGGGCCGAGCCACCCTCCAACCTCCCCCCCCACGCCTGCCCTCCCAGTCCCCCGCGGATGTCCACGGATGCACGACCCCCGCGGATGCGTGACTTCTCCCCGCCCCTGCACGATCCCTCGTGGATGCCTGGCTCCCCCCCACAGATGCACGACCCCCGCGGATGGGTGACTTCCCCCGACCCCTGCATGATATCCCCGCTGATGCGTGGCTCCCCCCAACGAATGCACGACCCCGCCCCTCCCTCCAGCAGCAGTTTTGCAAAGCGTTGTGGCTGCGGGATGCGCTGAGTGCGGTTCTGGCTGCGCCTTCTCTCCCCCGGCCCCTGGCCGCCCAGGGGGACTCCGCGGCTGGCAGGAGGGGTGGCGGGAGGAGGGGGACAGGGCTCCGCACACACGCGGCCTCGGGGTTTAGGACCCGGCCGGCCGAGGCGCCGCAAGATGGCCCCGGCGTTCGCGCCGTCCTCGTTTGAATGTGTAACCCTTTCGGTGCCGGAGGGGGTGTCTCCGCCCACTTCCGCCGGGCTCCCTGGGGAGGCGCGTGTCTTCCTGGGCCGGGTCCCTGAGGAAGGGGAGGGGACCTTAATGAGGCTCCTGTATCGAGATCCC